CGCACACACACACACACACACACACACACAAACACACACACTCTTACAAACAAACACACACACACACACACGGCCATGTTGATCAGTGTAGAAGAAGAGAACCGTGTGTAGGTCTAGCGTATTCATGCCCACTGAGATTTGTACCACCAGCTCTGCGCATCAGTTTCCCATCCTTCATTCGCCTGGTAACGTAACTTCCAACTGAGCACAACAATAACGGTTTTGTTTAGCGAGGGCCAACCTCTTTTTTTCTCTCTCTCTCCCAGTACACCCGAACGGGGAACGTCGGCTTCAGCTTCAAGCCCGGGTATTTTTGGCACTTTATCTTTCGCTCCCCTTGTTACATCGCCACCGGATGGTCTCTGCGTCTTGTTTATTTTAGAAACATTTCCAACTTGTATCCCGACACCAAACAACAGAGTAAATAAAACTTGAAAAGACGAGAGAGCGTTTGCTTAAGCAGTAGTCTAGTGTGGTGGGTGGGTGGGCAGGAGGAGGAGGAGGAGGAGGAGGGAGGAGCCTCTAACCTCAAATTGACACCGGTACGCCACAAAGTGTCAGTAGGAACAAGGTGTAGACTAAATAAATACAATCTATTTAACGCCTGTTTATCAGGCTTTGAATAGCTGACGTAAATGATCCATTTTCAGTTTTCCCCTCTCCTTGTTTAATGATAGCGGTACTGTAGAGGCCCAGTTTGGAATGTGTGTATTAGGACAGGGAAGGGGGAGGTGGGAGGAGGCAGAGATAGATAGCTAGATAGATAGATAGATAGCTAGATAGATAGCTAGATAGATAGCTAGATAGCTAGATCGATCGATCGATCGATAGATAGATAGATAGATAGATAGATAGATAGATCGATAGATCGATAGATAGATAGATAGATAGATAGATAGATAGATAGATAGATAGATAGATACAATGTAGATAGATAGATGGATAAGGAGAGAAATGGTGGGGGGAGGTGAGAGTTTGCACGTGCATGTGGATGAGGGAGAGAGATATGGGGACGGTGAGGGATTGCAAATGTGTATGTGGATAAGAGAGAGAGAGAGAGAGAGAGAGAGAGAGAGAGAGAGAGAGAGAGAGAGAGAGAGAGACTACTTCAGATGTAATGTCTTTCCCTGAGAGA